CTGAATCAATATTATAATATATAGTTAAACTATAATTAGAATCTGATATGCCTAGTGAATCCAATTGGGCTTGGCTTTCGGTTCCTTGAGCTATTGGGTGGTATTTGACCTTTATTGAATATACGATAAAGTGATATAAATTGTTTATATATCTTTCTCTTCTTTTTTCGTATTGAATTATGTCGTATTCCCTATTATTTAACGTTCTTTTATACCCTTTTATTGTCCAATCGGGGAAGTCTTCGACTAATTCCATATATATTATAGGGTCGACAGTGTATATATGGTTCGCAGACGTATATAAGGGTCGACAAGGGTTCGTATATAAGCGACGACTAGCTTTATGCCTCCGGTGAGGTGTGATATTCAACTCTACTTCTCCCGGTGACGTGTAGTGAGGGGACTACTATACACCCGGTGATGTGTAGTGTTGATATTATATGCGTCCGGTGACGTATGTTGAGAGGGCTTATTTGCACCCGGTGACGTATGATATTGATGATATATACGTCCGGTGACGTGTGTACTCCTTTTTATACTACCTAGTAGTATGACAAGGGTATTATATATATATATGGGTGTATATATATATTCTTAGGACTTGAATGAGGATTTGAGGTCGATGTAAATTCGTACTAGCGTGTAGGATCGCTTGTATGACGTATGAGGCGTCTTGATTGAGTGAATTTCTTCGTATTCTTCGCTTTTAGGTGCGAAGTCGATTGTCTTTCGGCTTTTTCACTCTTTTCTTGCTTTTTCGACGCGTATTTCGACGTGCATATGCTTCTTTTTAGTCGTATATATGAGTTCCCGGGCTCATAACCTATCGTAGGTCATAGGCTAATAGTATGTAATGGAAGCTGGCTCTGGTTAACGACTAAAATGGATTATATAAGCAGTGTGACACGTGATATTAAAGAATCTGTATTTTATTGTGATCTCTCTTATTCTACATTCAAGGGAAAAAAGCCTCTTTTTATGCTTTTTCCTTCTAATTCAGTATTTCCGCTTTCATAAATCTCTTGTAAATCTCTTCCTAATCCGTCCATTCTTTCGAAATAAAGCCCTTTTTCATATTCTTTATTTTTTATATCCGTTTTCGGATTTATGGCCGTTTTCGGCTTAATGGTCGTTTTCGGATTAATGGTCGCTTTCGTAAGCTTATAGGCGACAATCATGTGATCTGATTATATAATATGCTAATACTGAATTGAATGCTACTAAAAAGATATATATATTATATTATTTTTAATTAAAACAATATAAATGTCTATATTATCTTCTGTCTAAAGAGCTAGCTACATAGAAAGTTGTAGGCCTTATATAGACACTACTAAAAGAGCTAGTCTCTTTCGTATTTGCTTAAAGCTTGATATAGTAGTTATTAAGTTGAAGTTATTTACCTACGTTTATATACATACTTTTATAAATCCCTTAATTTGAATATTATATCCCTATTTTAAAATATTAAAACATTTAATATCAAAAGACTAAATTAAATAACTCAAATATAATAATAAATATATATATTTAGTATTATTCTTTTTGTAATAATTCTAGAATAAGATTAATTTATAGCTTTTATGTTTATTTAGTATTAGTATTTTATATTTACCCTTAATTTAATTCCTTATATGTTTATTAAAGTATTTTAATTATATTAATCTTCTTTTATATTTATCTGTTTATTAAAAAAAGATTTAATAATTTAATCTATAGAAACATTAGTTTTAATATATTAATTAAAAAAAAAGATTTATCTTTAAATCATAAGAAACAAAGACATAATTTTATTCTTCATATTATTATATATAATTACTATAGCCTATCTTTTATTACCTAATTATATTACTTTATTTCTATTATTCTATTTAATAGTGATTATAATTATTTTAGAATATATTATACTTATTATAAAAATTATAAATTAAATAGTAAGAACCCCGAATATCATTATTTCATATATTAATACCTTAATTGGTATATAATAGAACTAAATATCATTATTTCATTATACTACTATAAAATTTATAGATTAACAAATTTCAAATCTAGTACACAACTTTTTAGGAATTAATAAAATAGAAAAAGAAAAGACATAATTATTAATTAAAATTCAAGAAAATTAATTATATAATTTTTTCGGAATTATCTTTGAAATTAAAATTAAAATCTAATATAATAGTATTTTAATAATAAGGGAGTTAGTATTAAAGCTTAATCACTATAACAAAACTGACTAGAAAACTATCAAATTGAATTTTAATTTTAATTTTTAAAATAATTCAAAATAAATTACTTTATTGAATTCCTTAAGCTCCAATCAATAATTATATCTTTTTTTCTTTTATTTCATCAATTCCTGAAAGGTTTTATATTAGATTGAAAGATTAATAAGTATTATAAAATACTAGTTGAGATCATTTTAATAATAAATCTGACATTTGAGGTATTAATACATGAAATAATGATATTCGGGGTTTTTACTGTAAATTAAAATTGAAATATTATCTTAAAATCAAATTAAGAATTTTAATTTATAGAAAAATTATTCAGATGAGAAAATAATATTAAAAAGAAGATTATATTATAAAAGAACTAGTCGTCGGGGAAGAAGACTCTTTAGACTATAAATTCATAAAATTTCTTCTTTCTTTTTAATTATCATAATCATTTCAATTTTCTTTAAAATCTAAGTATAGTCACCATGCACTTCTATTAGTCGAAACTCTATAAAACACGTTTTTTCACGCGTTATACTCTTATAATTACATTTTATTATTTTAATTATACTTTCAATTTATAATATATAATATGTTAAAGATATACAAAATAATCCTTATAAGCATTTTACTCCATATATATATAGCAAAATAGTTAGCAAAATAAAGGAAGACCTTAATTCTTATCGAATTATAGAAAGCTTCAAACTTTTTTACAAAACTATATAATATATTCTCTTACAAAATCTAATATATAATAATAATATATACCTATTACACACTAATCGATTTAAATTATATACTAAACAAAACAAACGAATACTACTACAATATATATAATTGTTTTCAAAAACTATATATAAATAAATCATTCAAAAGATTGAACTTAATTATAATATTAGAACTATTAAAAGGATTTTGATCAAATATAATATAGCTAATTAAAGATATAAAAAGAGATTAAAGCTTACACTAGTATATATTACTAAGCAGCTTAAATAGTATTTAGCTTATAGGAGATTAATAATTGAAGAATAGGGCTTAATTATATAATCAGATAAATGCTTTATAGAATAAGAAAAAGAAAAAAGATTAGAATGGTATTTTTATACTAATTTTCAGAAATAGGATTCAGAAATAATCGAAATATATAATATAAATAAAAATATAAAGATTATATACTAAAAAAGCTTTTGAGATATTAAAAAAAGTAATCTATATATAATAGATAGGGATTTTGAGAGTACAAAATATAAGTATAATATTAATTCTTATCTTAAGGTTTTTGAAACTAAAGTAAATTCTATTTTCGAAAAGCTTGATTTAGGGTATAAATTTATATAGAATAATACTTTTATTTATTATGTTTATAAAATATAAGATTAATTTCAAGAAAAGGAGATTCCTTTATTAAAGGATTAGCCTTTTTATTTCCTTGATTTTAATTCTATAGAGTATATATAATAGGCTCTAAAGATAAGAATATATAAGATGTTTCCTAATATTGCTATTAATAAAAGTGAATCAGAATATATTTATTAAAGACTAAAGAATTGTTTATAAATAGTTTGGAATATATTGAATAAAGAATTATTTAATAATTTGGAAGCTAATATACCTTCTAAAATTGAGGCTTATATTATAGCGAATAGCTAGTATATTAAATATTAATAGATTAAAAGTTAATAATAGAATTATTTTTATATATATCAATAATATAAAAATATATTATTCATTTATTCAACTTTGATAATTTTATAATTCTTGATTAATTTAATATTTAATATTGAAAAAGGGTAATATAATGTATAACACTATAAAATAAGCGGGGGGGCGGATATAAGTGGCCTAGTACTAAACTAAAATCTAAGTACTTGAATCTTTTTTTATATCGACTAGTACTTATATAATATATAGATTTAAAGTTATATTTATATTCTATATTCTATAAAAAATATACAATAGGAATAAATCAACTAGTTTTTTTAAAGTATAAACACTATTTATTATTCTTTCTAAAATATAAAAATTCTGTATTTGACAATTATTTATAAGCTACTATTAGTACTTAGTAGATCAATAGACGTAATATTTCATATTATAATAGAGTCTTCTTTCTTATACTTTATATTTTGAAAAACAACTATTCACCTTCTAGTATACAGACGCCGATAAGTAAAACTATTATATTTATTTAATTTTTTAAATTCTCTAATAAACTTGCTTTTACTTGTATGATTAAATTTTGTTTCAATATATCTAATAAATTAATATTCTAATAAATTATATATATATATATTAATTTCAATCCTCTTAATATACATTAAATTATATTTATAAATATTATAAAAGATTGAATAGGAGTTTTAAAACAAGAATACTATTTTATTTTTCTTATAAACTGGATTATAAATTAATTATTATTTGAATTAATTGTTTTATTATATATTAGAGCTCCCTGGGCTCAGTACTGTTGTATGATGTATAGAGAAATGAGTTTAAAAATCTTTTCTGAATTTAATTAGAACTTGGTTAAATTTGATAATTTAAGGCGAATGTATGAATTAGCACTAATCATGAATGCTCTTAATACTAGCTATCTACATATTCATTACACGCTAGTTCAAATAACCCTTTCTTTTCAAATCCTCCGATACTTACAATGCCCGCCCCTCGCGCTACTAACGGTACATAAGATCCTCTCAACTCTCCACAAACGATAGCTGAATAATGACCACCTACATTATGCCACGCACACATATTGGCCTAAATAGTATTCTAATTTGACTTCCAGTTACCTAGATCTGAAAGGTTGATAACTGAAGGGTTGTTAAAGACTTTCTTCTTAAAGTCGAGACTGTTAAATTCGTCCGTATCAATGTACGCCCCATTCCATGTCACGAAATAGCTCCAGTCAGCTTGATATAGCTTGAGTTGATCAGGATCGGGGATATTGCCGACTTCAGGAAGCGAAACCATCTTTCTATCCTTGCCCAAAGTGATCAATGACTGGTATGGAGCGCTTACGGCGCCGTGGTCGCCAGCAGGTGGATACGAGTCGTAGCCGAGAATATCAACCATGTCATCGCCGGGGTACCAAGCTGTAGCTACAGAATTCCAGACCCAGATCAGGTTGCGCAGCTGGTGGTGGTTGGTGAACCGGTCAAACATGAGCCGGTAGAGAGCCACACAGGCTTCGGGCCCCTGGGCGCCCCACCAGAACCAGCCACCCTCGGCTTCGTGAAGAGGCCGCCAGAGAACGGGAACGTTAGCTGCTTGGAGGCGGAGGAGTAAGGCAGCGATAGTGTCCAAGTCCCTGATCAGGAGTGCGTAATCTGCACTCGAGGGATTCGCAAGAACGGTTGTCAGATTGAACGTTGTGGCAGCGGTGTAGAAGCCTGAATACCATGGCTCGGCCGGGCTGTCTATGAGATGTCTAGTGACGTTAGGGAGTTTATGATTGGGCTAACGGGAGACTTACGAGGGGGCATTCCAATGCCATTGAAATGCGACAATTCCATTTCTGTCGGAGAATGCAATCCCATCTTCAACCTCGTTGCTGGTAGTGCCATGCTCCTAGGTACACATATCAGTGGCTTTCCCAGAAAGTTTACTGGAAATGAAACATACCACACGACTTGGACTATAATCCATGAAATCCAGACCAATAATCGCCGGTGTCTTTCCAACATTCTCTTCTAACCATGCGATTCCGGCTGCCTCTGATTGGCCAGAAAAGATCGAACCGTTCCCATAATTGGAAAGAAGTTTGTTGAATAAAGTTTGGGTGATAGGGAGAGGGTTTGATGTGGCCAACTTGCTTGTGACTTGGTGCTTCGCAGGTGGAGCCGAAGGAGAAACGTACACGGCGTCGATAAAGTACCACCCCCTAAAAAGTTAGCTTAACGACACCAAAACCTTATTTACACAACGCGAGAAAGACCAACCAGTTGCTGGTGAATGTGATCGTGTTGGTGCCAGCCTTCAAAAGTACTTGGCCAGCCGTTGCATTGGCCCATGGACTTTCTTCAGATGTTGCTCCAAGTACGATCCCAGACCCTCCCGAATCATTGAGTGACATCGTAGTCTGCTTTTCGCCAGAGGTAGAAGCATACTGAATGATCACATCGTACAAAGCCTGCTTGGCACTCTGAAAGGTAATCGTCACGCTATCTGATGCAGCATCGAAACCCTGGACAAATCCAGAACCGGAGAAGCCTCCTGGATTATTCCCAACCGTAACTCCATTGAGGATACCAGTCTCAGCTTCGACTTTCGCACCGTTTGTGACATCCACAACAGCGGCTGCTGAGGCTAGTGATGCTAACGCAAGAAGGGAAAAGGGACGCATGACGAATGAATGAATAGGTTCTGAAAGCTCTTCGAACACCTTGCTGCTCTTCGCATTTATGAAGGACAGCACTGGAACCTGCCTCTTTAAATATGGCTCTTAGAGGCGCGTAGAAGAGCAATAGGAATTACGAAATACAAACAGACATAACTTCGTATATCTGATACAATTCAACCTGCTAATGAGAACCCCTATATTTCAATTAATATATAGTTCTCCAGTTCTAGAAATAGTAATACGGCAGGCGGCCCTGAGTTTTAGGCAAATTATAAGGCGTGGATCTTTCAGAGTAAGCAATGGCCAGTAATAACGGAATAGGAAGCCTATGATATGGGAATTTCTGGTCCTAACACGCTTTACCGGAGGATGATACCATTGGAGGATAAAATGGACGCAAATGACCAAGATATAAGAGCTTGTAGAGATTAAGTTTGTTTCAAGGGAAGAGGAGATCCAACCAAAGGAGCCGAAGTGGAAATGCGGGGTAGTAAACAATACAGCAGATGATCATAGACCTTGCAAGCTGCAGTCCAATAGCCTATTTGGATCGGGATGTAACAGTAAAGTGCTAATCGTAAATGTTTTGGATCCCATCCTAGGTTCGGATGATCGTCCCTGCGATGGAGAGATAATTTTTGTACTCCGAGATCCTAGCAAATAGAATAAATACTATGTAGTACCCGTGGGCAGGACAAGCTTCTAGAAGCGACTAGATTAAATAGCCCCACTTGCTCCGGGAAACAATTCGCCGGAGAACAATACCTAAGAAATTTGCCGACACTACATTTATCAGCTGTTAACAACTACTTTGAGAACACACATGATCTTTCCCCACATTGACCATCGAGTTATTCTTGTTTCTCAAGATGAACCTTATCTTATATTATAAAAACGTTGGATATATTCACTCTTTGTTTTCGTCTAATATAAATTAAAGAATCGTTTCGTTCAAAGAGCTTCTAGTCTTGCCGAGATATTATTCCCCACAAGTCAAAAAGGTCAAGTTCGTTAAGTCTAAATTTTAAATTAAACTCTATGCACAATCTTGTTTTACTTTACACAAGAAAGGATTTACTACAATTTGAGAGCCACCCCTTGATTCAAATGATTAGTCTTGGTGAATCCTCGATACAGCGCGCATTTTGAAGTGAGACATTGTCCGATATTCCAGGGTCAATGGGGGGACCCAGAGTTTCACAAGTAGTGGGTGCAGAACTAGCCTTGCGTTCCCAACGCAACTTTCGAAGTTTCGACAAGTCTGTATACAAGCGCACTAATACTAATATACTTCTCGACAATGTTTATATGATATCTACTCCCTAGATATTATATAAACAGAAGCTTGACAATATCTGATTAGTAATATCTGATTGGTATTTTATATAAAAATCGTATTTTTCTTTAAATTTATTAAAAGTAGAGTTGAGGAATCTCAGAACCCCTGTGGTGGCAGAATCCGTGGTTGACGAAGTGATCCTTTTGTAATTGTTATAAATTCTATAATACCTTCATTATATATTGAATAAATCGTTTTTAAAGTATTAATATGATTAATTTAAGTCTTCATATTTATGAAGCTTATTCTAATTAATAAGTTTTTAGTGAATTTCTTAAATTCTGGAAGGTTAATTGAAAGTTTCGGTTTAAAGTAATAAATATCTATTAAATAGAAAGCTTCTAGGTTTTACTTGCTTTTCAAACCCCTCTTCTCTCTTTCTCTTTTTTTCCTTCTAAATTGATTTCCTATTAGATTTTAATAAAATAATAGAAAAGATCTTTCAAATCTTTTGATCAGAATTTATTAAGGATTACTAATCTTTCTGTTATACTTCTATTTTGAATCTTTTATTGAATTCGAATAAAAATTATGATTTATTGATATATAGATTGCAGTCAGGGCATATTCTTGTTTATATGATACATTCTGTATTGTATAGTATAGTAGTATAGCTTGTGATTTCACTTGAAAGCTCTCTTATAGGTTTTCCTCATGTGATATAAGTTCAGTGCCCTACTTTTGGGCCACCCTTTTACATCAAAATTAGTCATTTTGATATATTAATATCTTCATCAAAATTGAATATATTTTGATAAAATTTTATATAAATAATCTTTATATAGATATTAATTAGTTTTAGAAGTTTTAGATTTTTTATAATTCTTTTGATTGAAATTTAAAAGATTGAAATATTGATTTTCGAATTTATATAGGAATCACATATAAATTTGAAATTCTATTAAAAACAATAATAACTTTTCAATAAAAATATTATAATAAACTTAGGGTTAGGATTAGAAATCCTTAATACCTTAGGGTTAGGGTTAGGGTTAGGGTTAGGGTTAGGGTTAGGGTTAGGGTTAGGGTTAGGGTTAGGGTTAGGGTTAGGGTTAGGGTTAGGGTTAGGGTTAGG